TCCAATAAAATAATTTATTTGGATTTAACAAAATGTGTTAAATCTAAAGAAACCGTTCTCTCTGTGTAATTTCGAACAATAGAGAGAGAGCGAGAAAGAGAGAGAGAGAGAGAGAGAAAGAGAGAGAGAGAAAGAGAGAGAGAGAGAGAGAGAGAGAGAGAGAGAGAGAGCATAATAATCATATTTAGATTTTCAACCAATCATTATGATTATTGCCAAGAATATCTCTTTTATTTAAGTCAAACATATTCTATATAACATTTATGCAAAAAAATGTTTTGTTTCATTAAATACTTAGTGTTAGGAAATATAGTATTATTTAGTTACAACAAATGAAGTTCCAACAATCGTATTGTTTCCGTCCAATAATATGATTTATTTCAAAATGTTACGAAATAGTAACATTTTTATTCATTAAAATTGTTGTATAAAATTATTATTGTTGAATAAAATAATAATTATTGTTGAATAAAATTATGTTCTTTGAATGTACAACAAATATATGAGTCAAACGAATAGAATTAAATCTAAAATAATTGGTCTCTAATTTTACTTGAGAGGATATTTGTAAAACATGTTAACATTTTTTTTTCAATTTTTTTATAATTTTTTTTTAAATTCTTTTTTGATAAATCATGCACATGTTATTTATTATATACTACAGATATTTAGTGTCAACGGCTGATGCAGAATAATTCTACTTGAACGAAATCATATAATAATCATAGACATATAAAAGATATAGATTGCGCCTATGAGAGGGGAAGTAAGTCACAACGCAGAGAGAGACAGATTTCACCCGTGTTTCTGCTTCTGTCTTTCAGCGTCTGGAATGAGAACTTCCTACTCGAGAGACAACACAGATAACGCTACATTGTTACCATAACTACAGATGCTATTGGTTATAATTTAAAAATTAATAAGCTATTTACTTAATCAGACTGCTTTTGATCAAGCTCTGTTAATGGATTATAGAAGTCAAATAGTTCGACTTTTATTGGAAAAATTTTTTATTCTTTGTCTGTATCTTTAAGTATACAACTTCACGAGACGTCAAAACTGATCGCATACGCGGTGTAAATTTACAAGACTTATTACATATAAAAATCAATAAAATGTGAATAAAATTTATAAAATTCAATTTTATATTCTTTATTGTTCTACATATTCTTCTGTTTCTTTCTTCCTTTTATAACAAATTTTATTGTTTGCTCTTTTGATAATTTTTTCAAATTTATATTAATGATTTGTAAAACACAACTATATTGACGGATCAAAATTAACCTACACCGTAACTATCTATCAATTAGACTGGCCCAGTGGTCTCGCGGTCTAAGTGCTGCGAACCCGGAGTTCTCGAGTTCGAATCCGCTCACTACCTAAGGATTTTTTCCGGATCGGTTTCTTTCAATCGAGTGTATCGATTGATTGGCAAACAGAATCGAGACTCCAAAAATTAATTCGAGTGTAATCTCGAAGTAATCACCCTCCCACAAAGCGATTAGAGTCACAACATCTCGAACACGAACCCGACACAAATGGACACGCCCACTGTGAAAGAAGGCCATGTATCGCGTGGTAGTAGGGACAAGAAAAGTTAAGGACAGGAAAGTTAAAGAAATAGAAAAAGACCAGAGAATAGAAACAAGGAGAAGATATGAATGGTGGCCCACAAAAACCGTGTAACATTGGTTAAGGGGCACGTAAAAACAAATAACATAAAAAAAAAAAAAAAAACTATCAATTGTCACAATCAGCTCACTGTCTCCCCTTTATCGTTCGGAACTCTTCTATTGCCTCACTACGCTATTTCTCATTCCTATTTCTTTTTTTGTTTGCCAATCATCGCATCACTAAACAAGGATAGAGACACGAGTGAAAGCATCTATCTTTGTGTTTTGATTATTTCTTTCCACAGAGAAGATAGGAAACGCGCAGTCTATATCAGGATTGGGCACGTGTTATACATGAGATATTGTACATTGTATTTTATACAAAATTTATTTTTTTTGTATTTTATACAAAATTAAACAAATATTTTATAATAACAATTATACAACTAAACAAAAACTATACAATATATAGTTTGTATAGTTGTTGTTTAGTTGTATAATTGTTAGCTGCGTTATGGTTATGTTTGCATCAAAATTGGGCACGTATTATACCGTATAATACGTGCCCAACTTTGATGCCCAATAAATATCAAAAGTTTAGCCTGAAGACACTTCTAGAGTCATTTGAGTGATATTGGTTGAATGCCTGAAGATGTTAATAGTTCAGATGACAAGATTTAGTTAAGCGCCAATAGTAATGAAAGAATTAAGCAAGTTTTTTGACACAAAGCAAATGAAAATAAATTGTTGTTACATAGTTATTAGCGTAATTATTATACAGTATAATACGTGCTCAACGTATTTTTTTGATGCCTACATAACCATAACGCAACTAACAATTATACAACTAAACAACAACTATACAATATATGTTTGTATAATTGTTATTATGCAAACATTTGTTTTGTATAAAATACAATGTACAATATTTCATCTCTGTATAATACGTGCCCAACCCTGGTCTATATGTATATTATACAGGATGTCTGATATAACAAATGAATCAGCCGAAGTGTATAGGTAGATCGAGTCAATCCGAACAGAAAAGTTATTATGTTTTGCAACATTCGCAATAGTTATTGAAATATGATTTAATAAATGTGAGCCAATGAGCGCGCATGATTGGAGGTAATGATCAGATTCTATAGGCGTGCACGATTATCAGCTGTAAAGAAAAATGGCTTCTCTCATGCAATGTCTTACAAGGAGAGCGCACGATGTGTGACCAATCGATTTCGCCGAAACTTTTTGTATCGATAGATCACTATGTCAAGTGTTACAAGGTAAACGCGTAAGACGCACTACTCAAGCGTTCGCAAGAAAATCGCAATTAAAAATTTTCAAGCGACTTAAGTACATATGAAATAGAACGTTTTACGGAAGAGTGCGTGGCGCAGCGATAGCGCGCTAGACTAGTAGCGGTAGAACGCTGCTGGTTCGAGTCTCGGTGAGTAATTTTTTTTTTTTTTTTTTAATACAATTAATTTAGTGCAATTATTATTCAAAATGAATGTAATTAATAAATTCTTTATTGTGTTAATTAATAATAACATCGGAAGAATCATTTACATGAAGCTACTGTTGCGGCCTTCAATACCATTACGCTAGAAATGGCACACCGTGCGACGCGCAAC